AAACTTGGACTATAAAAGGTATGCAACACAAAATGAAACGCTCGAGAACAGATGTTGGCATTGAAAAGCGGAACATAACCTAACATTACTCCATTAAGGTACAATTTGGCTGCACGCGACAGAGTCAAGCGACCGAGGCAGGCGACAGAGTTACGAGACCGAGACTGGTCGCTTCCTGTCTGCTCCCTGTACAATCGTATGAAGTACAATTACGAGCGCGAGACAAAGACAGGCGACAGAGACAAAGCACAGGAGACCGCTCTCGGACCAGTAGTGTCTCGCGACGGGCTCAGGCAGCACGTGTGTTGTTGAGTAAAATAATGGCAGAAATTTCTTCTTCTTCTTCGAGTAACCTTTTTAGAAGCATTTTGTACTCATTTTTCACAGAATATGTGCACGTATGTCTCAACAAAACAAAGAAAACAAACACTTTGCCGCATGTCTCGGTCGTCACCTCAAAAGTGTGTGGCGACAAGCTGCGATGTGTCCGTCTCCCGTCTCTGTCGCCTGCCTCGGTCGCTTGTCTCTGTCACGTGCAGCCAAATTGTACCTTTATAAATCTAATATAAATGGACTATGCCGTATGACACAATGGTGCGGCGAAAGCAATGCACTTGTAAATTACAGCACGCTGTAAATTATTGAATTAAATACAATTGTACTACTAATATGAACGATGTGATATTATGGAAAACAATTATAAGATATGTGCGTACTGGGTTAAAGCAGTGATTACAGACTAAACAACTATGGCTCACACACAATGTATTGGTTTATAAAAGAAAACAATGGAGGTCTACCGGACTGACACAGCATTATCATTAAATAGACAACATCAAAGTACCAAAATTACATGGAATTATTAATAAAGACGCAACAGCAGCTTTTGCACGAGGCGTTAAGGATTTACAGTAAGTGCAAAAGTCGATGTTTAAAAGAATCGTTCGACGACGAGAAATAGAAAAAAAAATATGCTCGTTACAGGCGAATGAATACTTTGGTAAAAATATTTTACCCTTACAACCCAATGGTAACGGTGAAGTTTGTGTTTTATTTTGAGATACGTAATGATGAAATTAAAAATTACAAACAATTCATAAAACTAAATTTCAATGCAGTAGTTCAATACCACCACCACAAAGTAATACCAATAAAATAATAATATTACTATTTTTCCCACTCCTACTACTCCTAATACTAATTCTATGAATGTAAATCTTTGGACGTATTTAGTATAAACATTGTCTCCCTTAAGGGCACGTTCTCAATAAGGGAAATGATCCAGATAGGTTGTCTTGATAGATGATCTAGCTTGGTTATCTGTTTTTTGTATTTCTTTAACGTTTTAAATTTATATTAGTGTTGCCTAGGTGGATTATTTGTTTTTATTTACTTTTCTTTGTGTGCAATATTATTTCTATTTTGGGCTTGCCTGTATTTGGCTGTTATATTTAATATTGTACATGTATAAGTTTAGTTAATCTGTTTGTGTAATATTTTTCATTTTTATTTCATTATTATTGTATGTATTATCAGTGTTTGTCTGTTATTGGCTTCCTGCTGTTGGCAAACACGTAAATAAATTAATTGAATTGAATTGAATTATTATGACTACTAATAGTACAAAAATTGAGGTTGAAGCTTGTGAATTTCTTTACTTGAGAGGGCACTAATTTTTTTTTAAAACTAGCACTGCACGTTGAAACAAATGAAATTTAAATTATCTTACTAAATGTAATACTGGCTGTAGGAAGCTGAAATTAAAGAGTAGGAAGTAAAACGAAAGTGCCTAATGGTCTTGGTACGCAAAAGCAAAACAGAATAAAGGTGGAGGCTGGCAGTGTGAGAGATGGGAAATTTATGGACAGCCTCGAGTGCTTTCGTTCTAATGAAAATTCATTACGCATACCAAAAAGGAGTATTAATTTTTAAAATGAATTAGTGGGAAAATTCGTTAAGCGAACGTTAGCTAAACGAGACGTTTGTTTAGACGCAAGTATACGAGAAAATTTAATTGCTTCTTTAATTTTGTGAGAAGTTGTACGTACGGGTCCAGTCACCTCAAGTAATCCAAATTTACTAAACGCTTTCTAACCAGCAGTAAGCTTAATTATTATAATTGTCTGTTTTAAGGGCGATTATACAATAAACATTGTAAAATAAAATAAATACTTTGTTAAGAATATCTACAGTACAGGCCAAGTTCTTCGAAAACAGCATGAAAACAGCAAAATATAAACTACGCTAAATGTGAGTATGGAAGGTCAGATGGGACAAAGGTGCCTAAAAAATATCACACGATTAGACTTACACAGTGCCCCAAAACACACAGAGATCGATAAAAATGAAAATTAATATTCCGTATTATAATTTGTGTACATCTTTTTCCGCCACCCTATATCAACACGTGTCAGTCCGAGGATTATAAATCAAACAAAATAAAACTTTTCACATAGATTACTGATAACAGGTACCTACAATAAACATGAAATTAACTGGTACTAAAACATGTGGTATGGCATATGGCGTTGTGAGTTACATTAACTTTCTCATACTTCAAAGTGAGCCTAAATACCTTTGTGCTACTGTTTACCTTCACCATTATGGAAAGCGTTGACTAAATATTAAATCTGATTGGATATTTTACTTTCTATGTATGAAATATTAACACTGAGTAAGTCTCACGTGAAGGAACGAATGTATGTGATGCAAAAGATCCATCTGAATAGGTAAAAAAGATCTGCTTTGTAGTCCAGCGCATTTTCGTATGTCTAAAACTGACTATAATAAACTAACGAAATCAAAGACAAAATGAAAT